GTCCATCCTTCCATTCTGGGACTGTAATGGAGTTTTTTATTATTATAGAATATGCTTCAGTTACCAATGGGTCCATTTCTTTTACATATGTTATAAACTGTATTATTGAATTTTGACTGAATATTTTAGTGATTTCTTCTGTCAAATGTATCTATTTTAAAAATGACGTTTGGTATACTATAATAATTTCTTACTTAATAATTAGTTTTACACAAGAGTTTAATCGCTAATAACAACTTTATGACAGGGTCCCTCACTATCGCTAGCGGCACACATGGCAGCAATGGTTAGAGCCGCTTCTGCTTCCGAAGCAAGACGTTCCTCCCGTGGGGCCTCTAGAGCAGTCATCGAACGCAATACGTACAGACACGCATACGCCCGGCCAGCGCCACACCACCAGGATGAGAAATGCACTATCTGTCTATCTGTGTTTGAGGTGGAATCGGATTGCAGGTATATTTCCTTATATTTCTAGGTGGTTTTGACCTTGTTGGTGGCTCTGGACCGTAGTTTGTGGCATTCCTTGGGGGACGCCTATGTTTCGCAATGGACTTGTGAAGAGCTGTAATGATGATGATGATGAACTATGGAAATGAAACAACGCGACTGAAAAGTGCCTCTCTGTCTAAGTCGTGAATCTTTACTTTTATTATATTACCGATGGGGAAGAAAGGTTCTCGAGTGGCAGCCTCGTATCGGTAGGCGTAGTGTAGGGCGATCCCCCACTAGATGGAGTGACGACCTGGTAAGATAGCAGGAAGTCGCTGGATGCAGGTGGCTCAGGACCGTGCTTCGTGGCATTACTTGGGGGAGGCCTATGTTCAGCAGTGGACTTGTGAAGGGCTGTAATGATGATGATGATATATATAAAAATAATTATATATTAGTTATAATTATACTAGTTTTTGAAAATAAGAGTAAATAAGGCTTCTAAGGCTAAACTTCCATTATAATTCCAGATTTATTAGTAACAACGTTTTGCCTACCGATCGACCCTTACGAATGTGTGCGTAAAATCGATTCAGTAAAATCAGTTGAAATAATGCATTACTACGCATTTTGAATTTAAAGGATAAAAAAGACAATGTTTGAGAAATGTTTTTTTAATTTTTCTTCACCATTTGCCTATATTACTTATTCTGAATTATTTCTGCAAATTTGGCCGGTTATTGCAAAATAACCCAGTATTGTGACCGCGGAACACGCAAAAATATGGAATTCTATAAAACGCGATTTGTGAGAGACCGATTATGGGTAAGAGAATGATACTGGAAACGGTTTTTTAAATAAAGAGGAGTAGAAGGATCAAACAGCACACTATAAAACGCGGAGAGGATGTGAGTATTCCTGCGAAGGCGGATCGTGAGCCATTTGAGCTGTTTGCGAAATTCGGATATATGATCATATTTGCGAAGCCCAAATATAAATCTAATACATAAATTTTGAATGCGCTCAAGCTTATTAAGCTGCTCCTCGGTAATGTCAAGATAGCAAATATCAGCATAGTCAAGGATAGGCAGAAGTAGAGACTGGGCGAGCGTAACTTTAGTTGCTGTGGGAAGAAAATTACGTAATCTACGTAAAGAGCTTAACGCAGCAAACATTTTTCTACTTACCTCATTAACCTGTGAGGTCCAAGACATACAGGAGTCAAGATACAACCCCAGGTTTTTAACCTTGTTACTGTAAGGGATTAGAGTGCAGTCTAGTATAATTGGGGGTAGGGAAGACCAGTCAATTTTACCAATTAATCTAGAATCATCTATTGTTATAAAGTATTTTAATAATTTATCAATCATCTATTGTTATAAAGTATTTTATTAATTTAACAACAAAAATCATTAATTTATAACACATATAAAGATTGGATTGATAACGACACCGAATCAGTACGTACTTATTCAAAAGATAAAACTTTATTTTCAATATTATATAAGAACTTTATTTTTATTCGGTGCATACGGGCCGGCCCAAATAAAGTGACGCACTTCTGGCTGTCATTGTCACGTTTCTTTTGGAACAAACTGACGTAACGCGCGTTTTGTTTATTTTAAAGGGATGAATTTGCAAAAGCTCAATTTATGGTGATTATATTGTTTCAAATATTTTTTTTAATATGAAACTGTTAGTGAATGAATTGCTGCGTTACTTACCATAAATTGAAATATAAAATATAACATATTTTTCGCGATGTACCTTAAGATTTTACGATGTTTATATGAACCACAGATAATATTATTTAAGACACAAAAAACAAAACATATGTGGCTGACCTAGAAGTGCGAATTAAATATCAATATTTAAATATTGTTATTACATTTAAATTGAGATTTTGTAAGTTACGCCTTTTGACACCCGGCTAATATCTGATGTCATCGTCTGTTTTTCTCAATCGATTTGGCACGAACTATAGGAGCTATGTCACAGATAACCACACAGATACACTACAAACATATAACATTTGTCTGTTTTCTTCGAGGGTTTAAAATGAGTGTAGCTACTTTCTTATTTGTATATTTTTATTATTATAACTTTTTGATTATTAAGCTTTAATTTTTAGATGAAATGTTAATATTGTTCACAGACGATTGCCGTGCATGCACCTATTTCACATGGAGTGCGTTGATCAGTGGCTGAGCACCAACAAACATTGTCCCATCTGCCGCGTCGACATCGAAACGCACTTGAACAAAGATGCAACATTTTAACATCTTTTATTACGCATTTTAGGTACAGTATATTATATTAAATAATCTTAATATATATAAATTACGTGTCACGTTGTTTGTCCGCGATGGACTCCTAAACTAGCAGGTCCTATCAACAACTATCCTATCTTTCAGGTGGGTCCAACCTGAGAGATAGGATAGTTTTTTTTTGCCCATGAGTGACTTACATTTTTTTTTGCGAATTTAAGGATTTTTAATAGGACATGACAAAGGGTCGTCGAAAAGGGCAAAACAACGAGTGAGCCTGGCAAGCTAGTTAAGTAAATATATATGACCACTGTGACGATATGCTACTTCTTGGTTTATGAAAAATCAGTTAAGTTTAACTGCTCTCGGAGATAATGTGTCTCATTACATAATTTAAATCAACCTCACACTTTTTCAAGTTAAACTAAATTGATTTCTTATATTTACGTGAACACTACACATTAATTAAAACTACGTTTAATTTTTGATTTTAACCATAAACAATAATTAAAAAGCTGAAGGTACTCCGGGTTTAACAGTGACATCGGGACGTCAGTCATCTCAGTCCCCCGTGAGCAGGGGCTGAAAAGCACCCGAAACTACGGGAATTAAAAATTGAACGAGATAAAATCCGTAAAAGTAGTTTTAATTAAACTAATTTTTTAAGTTAAATGTCACAAAAAAATTACATTATAGAAAAAATCAAGAATCGAGAATCTGATTTTTCAAATTAACTAAAGTATACATTTGTGATCCATCCAAACCCCTTAAACTTACTAATGACTTATATGTCACTCATATAATAATAAAAACAATTTCATTTGACTGCCTCGTTAGTCTAAGTGGTCGTAAATGCGATTGTAGATAGCTGTTATTGGGTTTTTCTGTCAAGAAATTCTCAGTCAAGTCTCAGCCCGGAGTCAAGAATTCGGCGGTGTTTTATTCACCCCCGTGCTTCGGAAAGCACGTTAAGCCGTTGGTCCTGCGCCTGTTCTCTCCGGTCGTGTCGGTTTACCGTCCCATCGGATTATGAGATTGAGGGAATAGAGAGTGCACCTGTGCTTGCACATACACTTGAGCACTATAATCCTGTCCTGCGCAGATGTCTAGTCTCCGTTGAAGACCGCCCGCCGTGACAGTGAGGAGAACATTATTATTAAACATCTTCACCATGCTTGGAAACAGGAAGCATAATAGTGTGCTTGTATTACTTTCAATTCCTGAATTCAAGTTCATTTGTAGCCATTTGCTTAAAACTACGATGTTATTAGTCTGGATATAATTGTCACCATGTATTTGAATATTGTATTTGAGTGTATCTGTAATCTTAAGAGGAAATGCGGGTGGTCTTTTCTCCATAAAAACGCTTTCGCCTGTTTTCTTTCTGGTTTATGACTTTTTTACAGTAAAATAATAAGTTTCAACCCTTTCTTCATCCCTACGTTTTACTTTCAAAAATTTTTTGCATTACAAAATGCTCAAAAATGCATATTTAGACCGCTGTTAACAGAGGCCTAGTGTTTAAATTTGATAACTAATACTGAAAAAAGAAAAACATAGGGACACAGTGAAAAATATAGAAAGTATAAAAAAATATAAATATAGAGAGATATTTCATATAGTGAATAGGAAGGATACATCCTTATTTAATTAATGAAATATCTTTTAAATTGTTCCAATATTGGGGGTGGAAATGGTAGAGAGCCAAACCTCGAATTATGCCTTTTTCCTTAGGCTATTCGGTTGCATCTGCGGTAGTCCGTTTCCCACTAGCGCTCGCAGAGCGGCAGCGATAGTTTTTTCAATCAGAAGTCTCGGACCGCATTTCCTCTTAATGTACTCATATAAGTGTATGGGGCAGTAAGAAAGCAGTGCTTTTTGTTGTCATTGTTCAAATAAAATGGTAAAAAGTTTGGTTTCAGTCTCAGTCCATTGTTTATTTTTATATTACCACTACACTGTCTAAAATAATATGCATATTATTTACATCTTGTTTAATTAATTTTTGTTGCTATCTATTGCTTTCAACAAAAAAGTTTAACTGAAGGGTAATGATGATATTGAAAATAATATTACATAATATTATTATGTTTATGAAATTTACATAGAAACTATTTGAATTACACTCCAGATATTAAAAAAGTTCTTAAATTCAGAAGGTTTCTTTCACGCTTGACATGAATAATGGCAAATATATTTGTACATTTTGTAATGCAAATATTAAATTTAAGAAACAAAAAGGATATCTGTTTTATAAAAAAAAAATTATCTTGTAATGGTGTAGTTAAGAAATTATTTCTGTTTTTATTTCTTGTTACACGTTTTATCACAGGATTCATTATTTTTCAGTTTCTCTTCGAGCTGTGGTGAAGATATGATGGCCTTCTGTTGTATTTCTAAGCTCTCTTGCTGAAGCGCTTGATTCAACTGCTTTTGGGTGTTGCAAGTCCTGTGGAAGAATTAGGTGATATTATCATCATGTACATAGATTCTTTGAAGGCTCGTTTGCTTTAAAACTGATAGTGCAATCATACATCAATTTTCCATGTTCGTACTTATTGATTTGAAAATCTAGAATTATTTTATTCTTGTAACAAATCAATTGTTACAAGTATAAATCCCTCCTACGTTGGGGAATTCTTGTCAGCTAAAAACGGAAGTGCGGATCCATCTGAGTTAGCCGGGAACAATTAGGTGTAGCCGAATGCGGTTGTTTTAACTCAGGTGTATTCTATATAATTTATGAAATGGTTTATGAATATATAATATATATACTATATATTCATAACCATTTCATATTTTATTTCATACTATACAAATAATTAAAATTAACTCTTTTTCTAATGTCAAATTATAGCTTTTTACTTAATGCACATGAAAGTATAAAAACCTTAAAAATGTTTATGTATCTGTTTATCTCAGCTAATCTCCGAAATGGCTGGACTGATTTTACTGGTCTTATGTTATGAGGAGTAAATTAGGTTACTTTATTTTAGAAAAAGATTTAGGGTTCCACGCAAAACAAAGGCAATGAAATCCAATCGTAATAAATTCCACGCGTGGTTGGAGTCGCGGGAACATCGAGTATAATATATAATTTATAAAATAGTATATATTATATATAATATAATTTAAAAAATATCATAATAATAAGGCTTGGCCTGTGGACACCGGCACTGATATTACTTCATATGTGCTTTTAATTTTATTGATAAATTTTACAGTACACCTAATTAATCAACTGTTCTGCCACCAGGGTGGCGCCACTTTATGAGGTGTAATATTTGACAGTTGAACTTTCTGTATTATTAGTTGTATTTTATATTAATAACATTACGAATAAATAAACCAAACCACAGAATATTCCAAAAATTAAAAATGTGCTAAAAATTAAAGAGCAAACCACTGAGGTATCCTTTTTTATATTAAAATAGGGATGGGCCGAATACGGATTTCACCGAATACGAATATTCGGCCGAATTACCGAGGAACCTAACCAATTTATGTCGTAACTTGTTACCGTAAAGAGCAATCCGCCAGAGCCTTCCTCTTGCTCCAACCACCACCCCTGACATGTTATTGCATCATCTAGTACTGAGCAAATTGCCGGCACATGCTTATGTTTTGACTATTTTTGTGAAAAAATGAAAAATAGTATTCTTAGTGAAAATTGATAAGTATGTGATGTAAATGAGTGGCAGGAGATCTACTATTTGGACCAATTAGAGCAACTGACGACTGTAATGTAATGTTTCTTTGTTTGATTCCAAACAAAATTTTATCAAGTTTCTATTTGCTATAATTGGAAATAAATCTATAGTGCATCAAAAATACGTGTTATACAAGTAGATTTAACCCATAAATAAATATACTTTCAACAGTCAAATGATGAAAGACATGTTACTCAATTCATACATTTCCATACAGTGGATAATTTGAGTACCACTTTAACGAATATTCGGTGATTTAGCCGAATATTCGGAGTGAACCTGCCGAATATGCCGAATACCGAATATAAAACGAATATTCGGCCCATCTCTAATATTAATATAATATTCTACAAATGGATAATTTTTTTTTATTTAAAACCCACTCCTCAATTAAACGACATTGTGTAAAAAAACTTCACCTCAGTGTAAACTAGCGACATCTGGTGAGCGAAAGATTATTAGTCCTCATTGGCTGCACCTAGTACCCGACTAAAGATAGGTGTATCCGCACTTCTGCTTTTAACTATAACATAAACACGAGATAATAAGACAAATGTAAACATTGCTATTCATCAATTTTAATGTGGTCGAGCCAATATGAATTGTAAAATATTTACTCCTTCCATGGACCTAGAAAAAAGGGCGGACTCGCTAAGAAACACTAAATGCGAGCGCGGTTTGGAGCGTAATGGCGGGCGGTAGACTTACTATGGTGTGCATGTGTGCGTGCCGGCTTGTTTATATTAGCGAGCTGACTTACTAATGGTGCGTCAGTAATTGTTTTAACCCTCTACTGCATGAATTATGAAAAACATGAAAAAAAAATTTGATGGTTGTTTAGGCTTTATTTGGGGATAAAAAAATGACAAAAATGAAAATTATAAAATCTACTTACATAAACTGAAAAAAATAAGGAGGTCATATATGGGTTCGTATGCACTCAAACAAATTTTAATAAAAAAAAGTACAGACATATATGGATGGGTTCGTATGAAGAATAAAGGAACAAATAAAAATTTGAGTGTTCAATATAAAATAAAAAGTACAGCAATTTTAATCATGAAACGCGGATAAACAGTTTCGTTTGTCATTGTAACACAAGAATACCATGCATTTTTTACACTTTGTGTAAGTTTTTTGGCCACAAAATTGACATTTTTGACGGTTTTTCATCCATTCAGGCATATGGTCTACTTTGTCAGTTCTCACGGAGTTTAAAGGTACATCTTGATGTCTGGTAGGAACTTTCCTTATTTTCTTTGGTATAGTTGGTGTGCCTGGATTGGATAAAGCAGGACTTCCGTGCCTAGAATCAGGCGTTCCATCTCTACCGTGATTTCCAGGACGCCCTATTTTTCTTGCCATTACGGATTTACCGGATTTGCGTAAGTGTTCTTTCTGAAACAGCTTGCTTGAAATCAAAGAGACACATGTAAACTTCTGGATTGTTTCTGCGCCAAAGTATCCAAGCATTTACAACACACGTGTCTATCATATGAAAAAATATGCGTTTGTACCATTTCTTGGATTTCAAATGAATTCTATACAAACCAAGCATAGAGTCCAGTAAGTCCGCCCCCATGTGCCGGTTATACACTTCAACTGCTTGAGGGCATATAATGTTTTTGTATACCTTTTCTTTTCTAAAATACCTTCGTTTTGTAGTCGTTGGTTCACTACCTACATAAGTCGAAAGCATATTAACCGCTTTATTATCAAACCAGATGGCACTGACACTAACTTCATCAATGGTAGCAACTTTTTCAATGAAAAATCCACGTTCCTTTTTTTTCAGCTTCTTTTCTGGCGGCATATCTATATTAGGAACTCTTCAGGCGCCCTAAAGGCAAAATTCGATCTTTGTAAGATGTACCTGGAGCTTAGGGCTATTGAACCAATTATCAAAAAAGATCTTATGATTAACATGTCTTGGTACTGTTTCAGTAAGACGAGTTACAACATTGCCACTAACACCCAAGTCTGGTGCACCTTCAGGTCGTGTATTTGATCACCAGCAAAAATATCTAAATCATAACTAAATCCTGAAACTCCACTAAGAACTTGATTCTTATATCCTCATTTATGAGGCTTTGCTGGGTTGTATTGTTTCAGGTCATGACGAATTTTCGTAGGGATTATCTGTTCAACTGCCAGATATTCCTCTTTGGGAACTAGTAAAAGTTGCTGCCTAATGCCTTCTAAAAGTGGGCGCACTTTGTATAACTTGTCATGACCTGGACCGCCCAACGGGATATAATTATTGTTGTCATTGAAGTGTAATTTATTTTTTATTGTTTCAAACCTATTGCATGTCATAGTTTCGTAAATTTGTTGCTGTCCTAAAGTCTTGTTCCAGTAATATCGTGACGCAGGTAATTTCACTATAGACATGAAAATTACCATACCAATAAATTGCTCTATTTCTTGTTTGGTTATGTTAGCGGGTTTGTTTATATAGTCTTGTACGGATTTTAAATTAGATTGATATGTTATAGTTTGCATCAGGTCCTCAGAAAATAAAAACAAGAAAAAATCTGCCGGTGTTTCAAGTTTTTCAATAAACTCTGGTGACTCCAGTAAATTTAAACTTATTTTCTCTCTCAATTTTTTTGGATTCCCATATTATTTTAGTGGGTTAATCTTTTTTTGCCTTTCCTTTTTTCTGTGTGGCTGGTGGAAGGCTAGTTTCATCATCGGAGGAATCACTATCGGTTTCGGGTATAACAAGAGATAGTCTGTGACGTTGAAATTTCCTAGGGGGAACATATTCACTGTCAGAATCGGAAGCTAATTCTTCGTCACTAAGCGAGCCATCACCAGGAATAGTATTGACATGCTTCTGAGTGCCATAAAAACGAGAAGGATCCATTCTGCAAACAACGAAAAAAATGTCATGCCATTCATGCAAAAAATTAATAGCGCATACGAAACCATATATGGTACCGCGGATAAATGGTTAGGTTTGATTAGAATCCATACAAAACCATGTGTGATTTCATCAAAAAAGCCCCCCAATATGATTGAAATATGCAAAAAAGTAAACATTAAATCACAATTATATAAAATGGAACAATAACAGCACCATATTTTGTTTTTTATGAAACAAAACTTACCTTTATCACATAGAAAATCTTTTTTGAAAAATGTGTTTACGGACACCGAGTTGAACTTCGCACAAGCGCTAAGTACAGTGAGGTTATAACGAAAATGACGTTAGACAGCAAAATATATTTTCGTATTGCCAACATTATAACCAAAATGTCCACTATGCGTTTAGTTTTTGCTTGTGCAATATAAAGTGAAAAAAAAATTTAATCTGTTGAACCATATATGGGTTTATATGCAGTAGAGGGTTAAAAGGCGGCATCCGCCCTTTTTTGTAGGTCCATAACTTCTTCATAATTTGTTATAAATATTAACCACTATTACATTGTTATGAGTTAAAAGAAGTGATTTTTGTTGTGAATGAAATGATGAAAACTTTTTGTTAAATAAGTTACATTCACCAATTTGGTATGTTAACAAAACTATCGGATAAGCAAAATGAAAAGTTTTATATTACAATAGTTTAAAATTACATATATTTGCTTTATTAAAGGTTTCTTTTTCTTATAAGTGTTTGTTACATTACCTAGTGGCATGATGTATCCTTTCACAAATAGCATCAGATGCAGCAACATTCCCTGAGAGGTAAGAAATTTCTGCTGCTGCTGTTGCAACCTTTTCAACATAATCCATATAACCTAAAAACAATTTTTCCTTGTTAAATCTTAAATAATATTTTATAGAATAGTTTTTTACGTGTGCTACGGCCTTTCAACGGCCGCGCACCAAAAGGCCATTGCGTGCGAAAAAGGGGTTTATATGCTGATTTTTCAATTAGACCTATTATTAATTATATACTTTTGAATTACTTTAGAAATTTCCTAACTTATTATGTGATTTGTTATAAGAATTGACAAATGAAATTAATGAGACAGGCAAATGTATGAAAGGGAAAAAGAATGATGCCATTACCTAGCTCTTTCTTTTCTTGAAGTGTTGGGATACTTATCCTCTCAACTGCGCACATCTAACCCTCCGAAAATATCTTCGTTGACTGCGGCTGTCCAAATACTGGACATTTTTTACCCGCTCTTTTATTGTCGAAATAAAGCATTACGCACTATGTCTAACTCACTCTACCATATGTCGATGTGTACAGGATAAAAAAGGTTACCATAAAAACCCCACAGCTTATACACTTTAGTAGGATTTTTTATATATACGATCCGATAAAGTCGTCCGTGCCTTGAGTCAGCCATTAGTGTGACTGACGCGCGCTAACAACAAAGTTGTTAGCAATTATTTTGTACTAATTTATATTAATTGTGTGGTGAATTGTGTTAAAACAATGCCTGGGTAAGCAACTTCCTTATTTGTAATCTCATTTTCTGTTTTATCTCATTAAGTACGTGTAAAATTGTTTTTTAATTTGTATGAAGCAAAGTGCTATCTTAGAATTAACATGCTGGTTGCGGAAATTTTAGTGTTGACTGTCAGTTTTGTGTCAAAATATGTGTAATTGTTAATCATTTACAGTTTTAGTACATAAAAATGAGGATAAAGTGCAATATTTTCAAATTTTCAATGTAAATACGCAATAGGTGCAAAAGTGTCTATCTACATATGAGACGCCCGCAGTAGTGAATTCTATTTCTTTGTTTTGCGGGTGGCGAAAAAAGGAACTAAAGTTTGCCATACTGCATCACGTTCAAATTCGGTTGAATTGTAGAATCGTAAAGAATCTAGCGCCCTCGAGCAGATAAACGGAGCTTGGTTGATTCCAATCTCATTCAATGATTTATGCAAAAATTAGATGTGGCATTTGGATATGAAGACTTCGGAATTTTTTAAACAATTTATTAAAACAGAAAATTAGAAAGTATTTACATATGCTTTTTAATATTTTTATTTTAATATTTGAAATTTTTATTTTTTTTTTATTCTAATATAAACAGGTTGTGGTTTTTAAGGTCACCTCAGACACATGTTTCTTATATCGGTTTTTTTAATGTACATTTTATCTGTATGCACTTTGCTAAATTCATAAATCAAAAGAATTAAAAAAATAATTCTTTTTGATTTACTTTTTACTTACGTTTCAGTTTTGCAAATCGTGTAACGTTGCGTTATGTTTCAACCTAGAGCAAGATTGCTGATACCTACAGTACCATTCGTAAATAATTAATACTGTAGATACAGTAAATCGAACAAGTACCAGGAGCCTTTTAAAGAAATGAGTACCCATGTTATATATTTATTTAATTTTATACTTATGTACATCCATCCATTTAGTTTTTATTGTTGCCTAGCTATAATTTGTTCAGCTGATTATTTCAGACTATCATCGTTGAAATAATTAAGTTAGTTAAGTTACAGCCCATTTACGTCCCACTGCTGGGCCTTACCTCACTTCTGAGAGGGTTTTAGGGCAAAGAAGTGTCCGCCGCGCTTTTATGCGTGTTGGCGAACTTCACATGTCTTCGAAATATTTTTTTCTTATTTCTCAGAAAGTCGGACTTTCTCAAGATATTTTCCCTCACCGCCCGAGCACGTGGTAGATCAGCACTTAAAATTACATTTAACAATTTCATTGACGCCAGCGGGGATTGAACCCGGTTTGCTAGCGTACTGTAAAATTTAACGCGAGAGCTAACCATCTGAGCTACCGGGACTCCTCTGAGCTACCACAGTTGTCATCGGTGAAATGAATACACCTTTTTATTTTGTATGTTTTCTAGAGAATAGGGTGACAAACGAGCACACAGTCCACCTGATTGTAAGTAGTTGCTGCGGCCGTAGATATCTACATCTATCCTCGATTACAAATGAAAATGCAGATGCGTGTCACCCGTGAGACTAAGATGGAATGCCTCGTTTCCAGTAAAAACCGTCTCCGGTTCTCTACACTCACCATACGAAACACAGCCAGCATTAAGCTAATATTTCACGCTGGTATTCTGTGAGAGCGTGGTCCTTCCCCGGTCGAGCCGACCCATTCGTGTAACAACTATACTACTAATATAACTGCAGCATGGCTCTACCACGTATAAAAAATGTTTTAATGAACTAGTACATAACGCACAAAAAGTGCAAAATCGGACTTTAATTTTGGCTTATTTTTGGAGCATAAGAAGTGGGTTCTTTAAAAATATATATCCATAATATTTTTTTATTTCAGGAAGAGATATGTTTATTTTAAATGTTATTATTTCGTAGATATTATTTGTGTTAAAGGAAATATATTACCTTTTTGAGAAATAATGTTGCTAAAATTATGTTGGTTATTGGAAATGTAATATAACCGCCGCGCACCCTGCGGCGCCTCTGAACGGCTATGTCACTCGACACTATTGTGGCGCATTGAGTATTGTTTACAAAAAATTATTTAGACTCTACATCCGCGGGAGTGACCCTTGAGTGGTTTTATGGCTTTTAAGGGAATGAATGATTCTTTATTTCTCCACAAGTGCTGTTGAAAATTGTTTGCTCAAATAAAGTAATTAATTTTTCAATAAATATGGCACTTACGGCTAAAATTTTGATATAGGCACTAAGAATACTTATTTCATAACTTTATGAGATTTGTAAAACTTAGCAAGATCTATTTAAAGATGACTGAATCATGTAAGGAAAAAGAGAGGTTCAACTAGTTCTGGAAATAAAACCACATGTTTCTTCATGAATTTAAGTATATATTTATAATGAAATAAAAAAAAACTAGTGTTAATTTTATTGACTAATGCATTAATGCCGCATCTGGTCCGAACTACATTCTACATCAGTGTAAGTTGATTGTTGGTTCTTGTAAGCTTACTATTAATGCGTTTTATGATAAAAATTTTTATGTAGCCTATGATTTTGCGCATAAAATATTGTAAACAATAGATTTAAAATTAAATGAAAATAAAATCGAAGTATTAAAAAACTTTGTTTCATCGAGAAATATGAAAATTTTGTCTTTATTCAATATTTACTTACACTTATTACTTTGGGATTTTATTTAATTTATGTACTTGTTTATAGGAAATTTCATAGAGAATTCAAAAATGTATACATATTATAGTATTTGATATACCAAAATCAAGAAATTTGCGTTTAAACGGATTGCGCCCAATGCGCCGTCAATTTTATTAAACAGCTCCGCAGTTAACGGAATATGACGGTTAGAGTCTCCGCAGCTGAAAGGTTATTGTAGTAGCCATAGTGTTAAAACTAGCTAAAACTCGAAATATGAAACACTTCAACTCTAGCCCACGGTGGGACGATGGTGCTACGTAAACTAAAAATCCACCCACCGTGGGTGGGCTGGCACTCTATAGGTTATAGATCCAAAAATTTACAAAGGTACCTATAATACTTACTAAAAAGAGTCCTCAGATTGTGTTTTAAGTCAGAGAGAGTACCACGTACAGCTACCAGTTGGTCCCAGTGCTGGGAGGGTGTGCCATCCCCCCATTCCATTGCTTGTTGTACTAAACATATTTCTTTTGACAGTGTTTCCCTCAATCTTAAATAACACAATGCATTAAATTCATTTTAGAGGAAATTTACTTCCAGTAGTTTTTTTTTCTATTCTTTTTTCTTATTTAGTTTAGATTTTTTTTAAATCAACTATAAAGAAGTTTTATTTGGAAGACGAATTGCTGACGAAATTTGGTTAATCTGTACAAAAACTTAGTTTTATTAAATTAATTTAAAAAAATCTTTGTGAAATATTTACGGTTACAAGCACGCACACACAATTCATCCACGCAAACAGGTGCACCCATAAGTTTAATTATTTTAAAATGTGTTCTACAAAAGTTTCATTGTGAATGAGACAGAAAGAATCAGAAAATCTACTGAATTACAGTGTACAGCGCAAACTGAACCCTTTTCTTTTGCAGACTTTATTCTTTTATGTATATCATTTTTCATGATAGGTATGTTATTTTTACTTATAGGCAATGAATAATAATATTATTATTACTATTATCTAAATTCGATACATTTGTTATTCACTTCTGTTTGCATTTGAAAAGAAACATGCGAGCGAGAGTACAACAATCGCGTGGACTGGACGCTTGAGTGGTTAATATCATTTTTAGCAGGAGAAGTAATCACAGGCATGCCCAAAACAAGGCCAAGCTATTTGGCGGCAGATACAAATGAGAGGGTGGTTCCTACTGAGATGGTAGAATTCGTGATTGAAATTTAGAATCGTTTGGCAGGAATAGTAAGGTGTTTTATTTGGTTGAGGTTTGGTCCCCGATTATAATAATACCACTCACATTAAAAGGTAAATAAAAGAATCAAAAAGAAAAACCGATAGAACTAACCACAAAATGAATTAAAGGGGTGGGAGGTGGTGGAGAGGGAGACGGGGGAGTTGTAGTCGTCCCTCACTTCCACATCCTGCCTGACATGCTTAGTTTTTTTTATAAATTTTTAAGAATCTAATTTTGAGGTTATGTTTTTGTAATGTTTTTGACTATAAACCTGATTTATTGGAGAAGAGAGTTGGGGGAGCACATAGCGCAGACAAGGGAAGCACGGCCGTCGGAGCCCCGCTTTGTGGGGCTCCCACTTCTGAGTGGTTTACAAAAAAATAACCCCGAAGGGAATAGGGGGTCTATTTGCTCGCTCACTCGACCCCGCCATCCCCTTCTAACCTAACCTGTCCGAGTTGGAGTGGCCTAAGTCCCAAGCTTGCTTCACTCGCTCTTGCACTTAACAAAACACCATAATATTAGCTTTTATAATTAAATTATAAACATAATATATAATACAATAATAAGCACACTACGGCTCGCACAGGTGCCTGCGATTTGCTATGACGGGCAGGGGCTGCTCACCCTTCGTGCCTACGCCCTTACAAAAACACTAGGAGTGAGGCAGAGAAGACTATGTGGATTCAGGGCGTGCTGATTTAATTGTACAGATTCGATCAGATCAGACATCTATAAAATCAGATTGCCTTTGCTCCCGCCACAACCACAAAATTCTGTATGCTATCCAGCTTTCACAGTAATATCGTATAATTTTTTCTAAAAAGGGCTAGAACATAGAGCCGTAAAGTCAGTTAATAGTTATTTAATTTTTCGATAATGGTGCATTACATTTTAATGTGAGTGGTATTATTATAATCGGGGACCAAACCTCTACCAAATAAAACACCTTACTTCTCCAAATTCCTGCCAAACGATTCTAAATCCAACCCGAATTTGTTTTTCCTTGTGTAGAAAAGGAGTCCTATCGCCAGTCAAGAGTCAATTAGATTATTTGCGTTTGGGGTTTCATAATTAACAAAAATAAATTTTACCTTTCGCTTGTATCTTGAATTGCGACTAGAGTAACAGTCAGAAGTTGAGTCGCTGCATTTACATTAACAGTCGTTGCTTGGCGTATAAGAAATTCATGCTCCAGACTACCTTCTTGTAAATCAGAGTCTTCACAAAATGCTGTAGTTGTAAGTAATCCCAAAGTAACCGGTGCAAAATAACGACTTCTAATAACTGAAACTTTGCTATGGATTCTGCGTGTTGTCCTTAAAATAGGTAATAATTTTCGTATGAACATGATGGGTGTGAAAAAAAGGAAATTTATAAATGTTAATCCATTGCAAATTTTATGGACCAAATAGTATTTTTGTGTGTAATTGATACAAATTTAAAATTTGGGAATGTAATACTTGGTAATACTACCATACTTTGTCCTAAGCACATATGAGTATGACACCTGTCGTGAGTCACTTGTCATCTGTCAGTATCATTGAAAAAGTTGATAAGTGACAAATGACGTAGGGATGACCACTTAACATCGATATATCGAATTTGTTCGATGTTTTCCGTCCGACATATCGGATTGATTGGATGATTCAGTTTCGACAAATATTTATTGTATTCGATATATCGATATATTTATTTATAGAATCGTCGAATATTTGATTTTTCAATTCTTAGTCGAATATTTATTAAAAAATTGAACGTAATAAAATCCGTAAAAGTAGTTTTAATCAAAACTAAATAATTTTAACACTTCTTGATGACTTCAATTTTAAATAAGGTTCATTTAGAGATTGACATCTGTGAGGGACCAGCTTAATTACTTAATCTATCCTGACAGATCGATCGACCATTCACCCTCAATTTATGTAGTTTGTGGATTCTATAGATTTATTATTGCGTCGTCTTCTACTGTTTGGTGGTAACGCAATTACATCATTTTTTGATTGTTTATCTAAGACAAGTTTATGTAAGACTTTTAATTGCTACTACACTTAATTACTCTAAAATAACTGAGTTGACGCATCACCTGATTGCTAGTTCGAAGTTGACAATATATGTGATTTTATATTTCTATTATAATTATGAACTTAACCTCTACTCGTTTGTAACAGTGTTTTATATTTAATATATATCATAATGATCGAGCAAGTAGATGAGTTTGTATATTTGGGCTGCGTATTTAGCAGGGATGGGAGATATGATAAGGATATAGAACGACGAGTGAATGCGGAAATAGAGTAAATGGGGCCCTGCACTCTATTGTGAAGAGTCAAAATGTGTCAAAAAAGGCACGTATGGCAATTCACAATGCTGTGTTGGTCCCTACTTTAACGTATGGTAGTGAAAGTTGGATGTGGCAGAAGAAGCACGAGAGTAGAATCAACGCAGTAGAAATGCGGTCGTTAAGGAGTATGTTAGGGCTGAATCAGAACGACAGGGTAAGAAATTGTGTAATAAGAGAAGAGTGTGGTTTGCAAGATGATGTTGTGACCAGTATTAAGAAAGGAATGCTTTGGTGGTTTGGTCATGTGGAAAGAATGAATGAGGAAAGAGTGACAAAGAAAATTTATGTTGCAGAAGTGAATGGCAGAGTCGGAAAGGGACGTCCTAGGCGAAAATTTATCGACCAAATTGGCGATTTATTAAAAACTGACCAAATTAGGAGTACCCTTAACCGACGAGCATGCATGCGTAGGTGTATGGATGTGAAGGAGGCGAGAGAGGTATGTCAGGATCGTGCCACATGGAAGTCTGTAGTCTCTGCCTACCCCTCTGGGTGACAGGCGTGAGTGTTTATGTTCATGTTTTATGTTATGATCTTACATATTATAATGCATTTCATAATAATAAATACATTTCCTTTTTTATTCTTATAAATGCTCAATAAATATGTTAGCGACGACAAACTGAATTCGAACATTTAATCTTAATTGTTTCTTATCAGTGATTTTAAACTAAGTGTTAGCATTTAATCTTAATTGTTTCTTATCAGTAATTCAAAACTAAGTGTTAGCATTTAATCTCAATTGTTTCTTATTCGTAATATAAAGCTAAGTGTAAAGACTGATAGTGCTGATAACAAGAAAGTAAATTAATTGCTTCAATTCTTATCTTAAAATAACGTATAGGAATCTATTTAATTATTTAAGTTTGATTAGAACATTAGAAGCAAAGTATGAGCTTATTTTCCTAGTAAACTTTCTTTTATCATAACTTTAAGAGCTATTAACATATAAGTGATTTATATAATTCTTTTTCCTTTTAAAGTAATCTAAAATAAAAATTAATATGTCAATTAATTACTTATAATGTAATCTTTATTATAAGATAGATTTAAATTTCATAGAATATGAAAAGATAAGGTGATAAGATAAAAGAGTGATAAGCGTTGCACATTCCTGCCTCTTGGCGGCGCTACTTGTATGTTCAGCGAAAAAATACTATCCTACTCCGGAGCTAAACCGTGAGGAGACCGCGAACCTATTTTTATTTTTTACAAGCTTAAATTTAAACTTATGTAAATGATTTATGTTTAAAATAGTAAAGTAAAGTTATATCTATTGTCAGGAATATGTAAAAATATTGTAAGGTCTGTTTTACCACATATTTTAAAGAAATTTCTAAATTTCCCTTAAAAAAGGTCGTTCAGCGATCCAATTGGTCGACGGGAATCGTTAGTGCCGTGTGCAAATTTAATTAATTATGATTGGTCACAGGTACCTATAAAAAAGGGGCGTTTTTTTGTGGTAAAACATTCCCCAAATCTGGCAATGTAAGAAGAAGTACTCAGAAAAATAAACAAGAAGACATTTCAAGAAGTGTTATTTATTCACTGAACCAACTGCAACTGCATTGCTCTCCAAATTAATATATCCCGCCAGCAATAAAGTTTAACAGTCTCACACACGAGCACACATTCAACATTGGTCCTTCGAGCCGGATCGTGTTTTATGGAAAATTTGGAAGATGCCTTCGAATACAAGATCAAAATCAGTGCAGTCGAAGACTACGAGTGAAAGTAACGCCACTACGGGTACCAGTACGACGGATTGGAGCATGAATACGCCGAGTGACTCTACAAGCACGTCGACTACTAACGCGTCAGCATCAGACCGATCGACGCTTGTCAGATCATCGCCCAGCAGCATACACAGACAACCCGTACTACCTACCAAAAACATTGCCGGAAAGGAATCAGCACCGGGGGACGTAACACATACCACCCCCCCGGCCCGCACCGTCGAAGCGTTAGTTCACCAAGAAGAAAGTCATCCAACGCCGCAGATTCAAGAAAAAAGTATCGCAATTAAGTCACGTCTGAACGAAGGAAGCATACCGACGTCCAGAGAAAGAAATCTGCAACAGCCTCACCCTAAGAAGTCGACCCGCGATCCAGACACGCTTTCCGTTCGCTCGTCGCATAGGAAGAGAGCAGAAGCGCAAGCAAAAATGACAATGGCACTAAGAGAACTAGAACTGGCAGAAGCTCGGTCAAAAGTTGCTCAAGCAGAACTGGAACTTCTCACCGCAGAATCAGAAGAGGAAGATGGTGCCGGAGAAGAGCTGTTCGAACGAACACGAGAAGTTGAACGATGGTTCATCCAGACCGGGGAAAAGAACCACAAAACCATAGAGGCAGAAGAAAAGAAAAGTGACATCCAGGAACTAGCTTCAGTCATATTAAAGTTATCAGAAAAGTCACGTGACACCGTTTCACCGAAGCACCTCGAACTCCCTCACTTCAACGGGGCCTGTGAAGAATGGTTGGCCTTCAAGAGATCATACGAGGATACGGCCGCTTCTTTCAGTAACAATCAGAACTTAGCGCGCCTTAGAATAGCGATCCAAGGAAAGGCTAGAGAAGCCGTCCAGAGCCTGCTATTCACCGCTGAAGATCCACGCGAAGTTATCAAGGGACTGGAAGCAAGATTCGCAAGACCTGGAGCACTAGCATTAGCAGAGCTGGAAAAGATGAAGAACCTCCCCAAAGTCGGCGAGAACCCAAGTGACATATGCATATTTGCGAGCAAAATAAAGAATGCAGTTGAAACAATTAAAGCCCTGAAGAAACCACAGTACCTCAGTTCACCTGAAACACTGAAAGTTATAGTAGACAAGATGCCGACATCAATGAAGTTCCGTTGGTTCGCCTACTACAGAAGCAGAAGAGATGAAGAAATTCAGGAGCTATTACTCATCGAAGCGTTCCTAGAAATAGAAGCCGACATGTGCGGAGACTTCGCCCCGCCTGAAGCATCTTCAGAGCAAAGAAGAGGAATAAGAAAACCCGTTCATTTGGTACAAGAAGCGTCAAAGGAAAAATATAAGAAATCATGTCCGTTCTGTGAAGAAGAACACTTCGCTCTAGAATGCAAGAAGTTCAAGGAAGCCAACCTGAATGGGAAATGGGATATGACCAAGAAGGCAAAGATATGCCTCAAGTGCCTCCGGTTCAGGCACTCAAGGATCAACTGTAAAGCGCCAGTCTGCAAGCTGTGTAAAAGATGGCATCATACCATCCTACATTCTGACAGACCACCAGCACCGATTGAAAAAGAAGCAAAGGATATCAGTAGCTCGTCGGAAGAAAAAGTCGCCTCGATTCACAACGCCAAAGGAGAAGAAAAGGCCTATCTAAAAATGATCCCGGTGAACCTCTATGGCCCAAAAGGACAAGTTCGCGTACTAGCATTACTAGATGAAGGGTAGTTAAGAGTGAGTGTAACGGTCGTCTAAGAGTGTAACGGTTACACTCTTAGACGCGTCAATCGCTGAAAAAAATCGGAGTCAAAGGGAAGCAAGAAAAGCTTACAATCGAAACCGTCGGCGGGAAAGTATTAAGAAAAGATAGTTCACAGAAGATCGAGCTCAAAATAAAAGGGGCTCACAGAAAAGAAAAAAAGGACTATCGTAGCAAGAACCATCGACGATCTGAAACTTTCCGAACGATGCATAAACAAGGACACCGTGAGAAAATGCGAGCATCTGAGAGCAATTGAAAGCCAACTCCTCTACGTCACCGAGAGACCCAAGCTACTGATAGGCCAAGATAATTGGGGGCTAATAATAACAAGAAAGCTGAAGAAGGGCAAACCATCAGATCCTGTGGCCTCCCTCACGAACTTAGGATGGGTGCTACACGGATGTGAAACAGGAGCAACTGCCACGGTAAACTTCACTCATTATGGCAGAGCGACCACTGGCGAAGAAAACATCGAGGAAATCGTCCGAGAGTACTTCCAGCTGGAATCTCTTGGAATTCAGAATCGGTCGCCAACCAACGACAGCGAC